AGAGACGAGGTTTCACCATGTTGACCAGGATGGTCTCGATCTCTTGACCTCGTGATCCACCCGCCTTGGCCTCCCAAAGTGCTGGGATTACAGGCTTGAGCCACCGCGCCCAGCCTTCAAAACCCAAATCTAATACCAAACCCCCAAATTTATGACTACTTGTGAGAAGATATATGCAGCTCTTACCTAAATTTATCTTGGAAAATGTCAGACCCTGAGCCATAAAAGTAATAAGACTATTTTGAGACAGAGCTCGTTTGAACTCTAGGGCAAGAAGAAACAAACACCCCAAAATGGGATAGTTTCATGCAATATTACAACACGTGATCCTCACATGTGCATGAAAAAAGGGAATATTTAGGCGTGAAGAGTGAACGTTGTCCTTTTGGCTTGCTCAAATTTCTTCATAAGGGGTCTCAGGAAAGTCACTTCTACAAATCATAAAATCTTGCTAAACTGGTCTTTTTGACCTAAAATATTGTGACTTACTTTTCAACCTCTGGTATGACATCACATGACAGATACCAGACCCCCTTATCTTAACTTGAACATTACTTTCTGTCGACTCTAAGTTTCTAAACAAAACTAAATTTTGCAGGCTGGGCGCGGTGGCTCACGCCTATAATCCCAGCACTTTGGGAGGCCGAGGTGGGTGGATCACGAGGTCAAGAGATGGAGACCATCCTGGTCAACATGATGAAACCCCGTCTCTACTAAAAATACAAAAAAATTAGCTGGGCATATTGGCACATGCCTGTAGTTCCAGCTACTTGGGAGGCTGAGGCAGGAGAATCGCTTGAACCCAGGAGGCGGAGGTTGCGGTGAGCCGAGATCGTGCCATTGCACTCCAGCCTGGGTAACAAGCGAAATTCCATCTCAAAAAAACAAAACCCAAAAACTTAACTTTTGCAAGCAATTGCCCACTAAAGAAATCCTAAACCCACCTATGACTTATAAGCCCCTGCTTCAAGATGTACCCCCCTTTTTAAAGCCAAACCAATATATACCTTCCATGTATTGATTTATGATTTTACTTAGCTCAAAATAAATTTTTAAAAATATTTCGGCAGAACTTAGTTTTTCTGTCATCAATTTCTGGCCCCCAATATGAGTCTCAGAGAAAAATCAGGATCTCCTACCCCCACCGACAAAGCAGTCACCTGAACCTGATGCGAAGGCAACAGCAAAAGCCCATTGAACTCTCCCAGCTCCAAGCTTCTCCTCATATAGAATGGGCAAGTCCTTGTGAGCCCCAGACCACTCACTTTTGACCCTGTTCATGTTCCAGATCTTAGAGGAGGGGATTTCAGCGTTTCCACATTCAGTATGATGCTAGTTGTGGGTATGTCATATATGGCTTTTATTATGTTAATAATGTTCTTTCTGTACCCAGTTTTTGAGGGTTTTTAATCATGATGGGATGCTGAATTTTATCAAAGGCTTTTTCAGCATTTATTTAAATTATATAATCTTTGTCCTTCATTCTATTTGTGTGATTTACCATATGGATTGATTTTTGACAATCATCCTTGCATCCCTGAGATAAATCATACATGGTCATGAAGAATAATCTTTTTAATGTATTGCTTAAAGGTTTGCTAGTATTTTGTTGAGGATTTTTGCATCAATATTAATTGGAGATATTGGCCTGTAGTCTTCTTTTTTAAAGTGTCTTTGATTTTGGTAAAAGGTAATTCTGGCCTTACAGAATGAGTTTCAAAGTAATCCCCCACCTCTATTTTTGTGGAATAGTTTCAGTAGGATTGGTGTTAGTTCTTTAAGTGTTTGTTAGAATTCAGTAGTGAAGCCATAGAATATTGGGCTTTTCTTTACTGGGAGACTTTTTATTACAGGTTTGATCTCATTATTTGTTATTGGTCTCTTCCGGTTTTGTGTTTCTTCATGTTTCAATTCTGGTATGCTGCTTGGCGCTAGTCTGGCCCTCTCAGACCTGCTCCATGCTCACCATCAGGCAGCTGGTGATCCTTCTTGATGAGTGAGTGCAGCAGGGATGAGCAGTTGGCCCCTTGGCCCTGCACTGACTCTCCAATACTCATTGAACTTCATGGTGAGGGGCAGGGGACCCACCCTGGCTCTCAGTGAGAGAGCAGGAGTCTTTGCTCAGGGAAGCCCTCGGGGCAGCCACAGGACACAGCCCTGGGAAAAAGTGCCCAAGGTCCCCCTCCACTGGCCATCCTGCCTCCTCTGCAGGACCTTCTCCTCGCCTTTTTCCCTCCCTCCTGAGGTGGAAAGGAGGGGAGGAGGCCGCGGAGCCTGCGGTGGCAGGGAAGCCGGGCCCTTCCTTTTGAGCCTCCAGGGGACTCACACGTGTCTTGCCCCTTCTCCGGGATCTGGAAGCTCCTCTACATGAAGAGCCCTGAGCTCCAGTCCCAAGTGTCTCTTCCCCACCACCTCCTGCTTCTCCTCCTGCCCCTTCCATTGCCACCACCACCACCAGGGGCTCACACTCTGGCTTTCGGCTTCAAATGTTGTACTAGGTGCTTGACTGACTGGCTTGCTTAATCTTCAAAATCACTCTGTAAAAAAGACATGTTAGTCTGGGTATTGCCGCCCTCATCTTCAACCTCTTCTCTCCTTCCCTTCTCTCCCCAGGCAACACAAGAACCTCCAATTGGCCCAGGGAAGGGACTTGTAAAGCCCACCCCATCAGAATAAGACAGTGGAGCAGAAAGGGGAGGAGGGGTTTGGCTCTTGGTGTCACACTCAACGAACACTCACACATGCACACACTGATGCATGCACACACTGGCACGTGCACACAAATACACTGACATAAGTACATGTGCACACAGAGACATGCCAATACATTCACAAACATACACAATAGAAACAGGCCCAAACCCTCACTCTAAAACCTAACGCCAGACCCAAACTGCAACCTGGAACTCAAGCCCTAGCCTGAGCCTTAACCCCAAACCCCACCTCAAGTCAGAAGCTGAACCATGGGCCAAATACCGAACTGGACCTCAAACCCCAGCAGGAACCTGAATTCTACCGGTGCCTCTCCTCACCTGGCACAAAGGACCTAGGACTCTGCTGTGGCCCCCTGAATGAGCTGCGCCCCTCACTCTTGTCCTTCCCACCAGCTGCACTCCCTGTCTCCCCGCTCCCAAGGAGGCGCCCAGCCCATGCCCGCCCCTCCGGTGGTCCCCATGAGATGCACCCAGGCTGACCCAGGGTGCAAATCCCCACCGCAATCCCCAACCCTGAACCACAGCCCTCCTCTAAACTAATCCCAAACTCCCCTCCAAGTTAGAACCGGAACCAAAGGCTGAAGCCCAAACTGGAACTCAAAGCCAGCTGGAACCGGAACTCAAAGCCAACTAGAACCGGAACTCATAGCCCAGCAGGAACCCGAACCCCGCCCTCGCGTGTGCGCCTACGCCCGGGTCCTACCCTCCCCATAAGCTGGGCCTCTGACCCCAACCGCCCGCAGAGCTGCGCCCTCTACCCCACAGCCCCAAGAAGCCACAAGCCCCCCACACCTCACCTCCAGCTGCGCCCTCCCGCCCTGTCTCCTCAACCCTCACTGTGAGCTACGGCCCCCATTTCCCCGCCTCTGCCCTCGCCCTCCTGGGAGCTGTTGCCGCCTGACCCGGGATCTCTACCTTGCTCCTCGTGACCCGGAAGTGACCCTGCCGGCGGCAACATGGAAGGTGGTCATGTGCTGTACAGCGGCTGGCTGAGGAAGTCGCCCCCCGAGGAGAAGTTGAGGCGTTTTGTGAGTGCAGGAGGTGCGGGTGGGGCCGGGAGCACCGCCGAGGGTCTGGGGGCTCCGGGAGGGGCGTGGGGGAGGCTGCCTGGGTCCGCGGGAGGAACTGCGGGTGGAGGCGGCTTCTCTACTGTGCGTGCGAAGGCGACGCCCTGCCAACCTCCTGCCAGCAAGGGACAGGGTCCAGGTTTGTGTGGTTTGCGTTCCGAGACCCAGAGAGTTGATTCCGGGGCTGGGGACCCTATTGCCCTGAGCGCCGTCAGCCTGCAGGTCTGGGAGTGGGCCGAAAATGGGGTCAGGCTGTGGGGACCCATGGCAGGCTCTGCGGCCTCCTCAGCCTCACATAGGGCGGGAGCCTGGCACCCACATGACACTTCCGCTGCTGTGACACCCGCCCTGTAGGGCAGATGGCATCTGTGTCCACTGTGCCTGGCCCAGATGGAAAGTGGGACATGAGCAAACATCACAGCAAATCCAGGTAGGACATCCATGAGACAGCCGGAAACTCCAAAAGACCAAAGACACAGTAAATATTAAATATTGACATGAATCTGAAATACAGATGCAGTTTTAGAACCATGAGTTAGAGGAAGAAATTGACAAGAAACTCTGGCTTTCTGGGACAAAGAAAGCCGAGTTCAGAAACAATGTAATCCTGATCTGAGGTCCCATAGCACAAAGCATTTCCCTCACAGCCACCTGAGTCAGAAGGGTCTCTTAGAAACCTGGGTACAACTTCTGTTCATAGCCAGGTGCTTCTCTAGGGAGGCGGAGATGATTCTTGGACAAATGATTGTATTTAGCTTGACCTGATGTCATATGTGGTTGTGGCCTGAATTTTGCAGGCAGTTTCACCTGGTTTGAATCCTGGCTCTACCTAATGGCTGTGTATCATAGGCAAATTTACTTAGTGAATTAAGTTTCACTTTCTACAAAATGTGGGCTGCAAATAATATGTATCACAGGTGACTGTTGTATTAAGAAATTGTATAGTATAAGGTTGTTACAAGGCATTGAGCTCAGTCCCTGAGGTAGAGTGAGCCATCAAATAAACTGCTTGGTGTAGCATGTGCTACCTTCCAAATCTCCCGTGCCACACTCTTCCATCTCTCACTGTCATTCAGCCACAGTGACCCCTTTCTCTCTTTGGAAGGAGCCAAGTTCTTCCCCACTTAGGGCCTTTGCACTTGTAGTGCCCTCTTCCTGGGACACAGCAGCTTCCCCCACCTCTTTCACATGCCTGACTCCTTCTCATTCTTCTAGTAGCTGATATTTTCAAGCAGTGTTGTAAGGTGATTGAGAGCATGTGCTCTGGCTTCAAATGTTGGCTCTACTACTCACTGGCTCTGTGACTTTGAGCAAGTTACTTCTCTGCATCCCAATTCTTAAACTGTGCATTAGAGTCATAATATCTATTTAACTGGGTTGTTGTGAGGATTAAATAAATTCATATGTATATATGTGTACATACACACATATTTAGCACTTAGAATGGTACTTAGTGTGTAGTAAGGCTCTGTAGAAGTGATTGGTATTATAAAATGTCACTACCTCGAGAGACCTTCCTTGCCCAGTTCATCTAGCAGTCTCCCCCAAACCTCTGTCATTACTGCCATATTTGGACATGTAATTACTGACATACTTGGGTTTATTTCTATTATTTCATGCTATTTATCATGCTCGAAAAAATGAATTGAAAAATGAATAGAAACTTTGTGAGATGGTATCAAGAAATTGAATATATGCATAACTGAAGTTCCAGAAGGAAGATGACGGAGAGGAGTGAAAAAATATTTGAAGAAATTTTAGCTGAAGTTTCACCAAATTTGGTCATAAACAGCAGCCCACAGCTCCTTGAAATTCAGCTAATTCCAAGCAGGATAAACACAAAGGAGAATTTACCTAAGCTCATCATAATCAAACTGCTAAAGACAAAGGTAAGGAAAACAAGGTAGGAGAATCACTTGAGTCTGGAAGGTGAAGGCTGCAGTGAGCCAAGATTGCACCATTGCACACCAGCCTGGATGACAGAGCGAGACACTGTCTCAGAAAAAGAAAAAAAAAGAGCTGCCAGAGGGCTAACATATACTGTACCAGAATGACAGCCAGCTTTCATCAGAAACAGTGGAGGCCAGAAGACAGCACACTGATGTGTCAACAGCTCTGGAGGAAGAAAACCGTCATCTGAGATTCTACACCCAGTGCAATTTTATTTTTAAATGAAGACACTATGAAAACATCGTCATATTTTTAAAAAAGCTAAGAAGGGTTGTTATCAGAAAGCATGCAATACAAGAAATGCCAAAAGAACTATTTCAGGCTCTTGGAGACCAGGAGCTGTGGCTTTTATCCTGTATAGCCTGTCTAACAGAATCTAATCACTGTAGGCATGCATTTGTTTTTCTTTAAGGGTTTATTGGATACCTGCTAGATGTGAGGCACAGTACCAAGGCTTTTATCTTAGTCACTTCATATCCTTAGAACAACCTAATAGCATAGGCACAGTACTGTTCTTATTTCTCAGGTGAGGAAATTAAGACATGGAGAACACAGGCCATGACACAGTCTGTGGTGCCATCATCCTAGATTCTCTGTCCAGTGGAAGATTCTGTTTTAAAATATGAAGGCAAAGCAAAGACACTGTCAGAGTATCAGACCAACAACAACAACAAAACAATAACAAACTAAGACAATATATTACCAGACAACCCACTATATGAGAAATGCTAAAAGAAATACTTCAGCAGTGTGCTTCTAGGGAGTGTAATGATATTGATACACAACATGGATGCAGAAGGATTTCCAGTAAGTTACAGGCACTGGAAGAAAGTGTTGGGTGGATGAATACTGGAGCTGAGCGATCCACAGCTTTCAAGGATCTGCTTACAGATTTGGGAAACTGTATTCCATTATCCGCCCAACTATCTTTGCAGAGCCATCTTCATCACTGTTTTCTCTCCTAAACCCTCAACCCGAGTTCTACACATAAAGCGATATTGGTGAGAGAACAAGCAGAGCCCGTGAAACCAGGTTGCTGGGCTTGAAGTCTGGTTCTGCCACTTTATGACCAAGGCGTTTATAGGATGAATACAAAGTTGGCTTAACATTGGAAAACAGACCAGTCAAATTTATCACGTTAAGAGAATAAAGGAGAAAAATCACCTGATCATCGAATAGATGCAAAAGACTTTGTGACCAAATTTCAACAAACCATAGAAAATTAGTTGTGTCTATGAAAAACCTACAGCTAACATCATTCTAAATCATAAAATACTGAATGTTTTGCCCTAA